AAGCAGATCTAGTGAGAAAACCCGTACCTTTTTCTCTAGGTCACCGCATAGACCAGTAAGCGTCTCAATCTCAGCTGCTTTCTCTGCTAGAGAGTCACCTGATGATACAGATGAACTCAAAGATGGTTGAATGGTTTTATCTGCCTCGAGAGCAGTTTCTGTTTCGGCTGATCCTGATAAGTTCTTTGCTTCTTCTGTAAGTCGATGGACTCGGGACTTGCAAACAGAAATAGCTTTTTGGCAATATGGAATAGCTTCTTCTGGTTTAGAACCAATTTCCAGACACAGGCATATCCTGAAATTACTGATTTACCCCTGTTAAGGAAGTTTATTTTCATATTTGGCAATTGCAACACAGTAACATACCTTTCGGTTTTTATTTATACGGTACAAATAATTCAAACTTGAAAGAGCTATTCTTCTCACACAATGATTTTAAAAAACTTTGCACAAACATAAATCATCCCACCTATCTCCAAATATAACACTTCCGAACAACTAAGTTTTGATCTTAAAAGGATACAGCTCAGCTATAAGCCGACTGTCAGGTTCAACCAGGCGCTCCAAAATGGAAAGGGCTTTTGAGTAGTCACTCAGTGAAGTTTCAACATCCTCTGGACAAAGCAAAAAACATACATTACTGACCAATGAAAGATCACACCACATAATAAATTATTGCAAATTAAAAAACCCATGATTACAGGAATTCATGAACAGAAAAACTTCAAACCTCTTTCTAGTGCTACTTCAGCTAAGGCTGAGAGTATGTCCACCTTTTCCATCGTGTCACCTGAGTGCTTCTCAACAATAGCCCGAGCAACATCTAGCATCTTCCATGCCAAGTCAAGGTCAGACTCATCCTCATCACCATCAGCAAGTTCCTCATCATCACTTTCATCCTCACCTTCCTCTCCTTTTCCATCTTCAGCTATGATATCCAAGAAGCAATCACAATTAGTATGATTGAAATAGAACTACATTTCATTCACATAAACTCTAGGAATAGATGAGACAGTGTAATGTATTTTAATCAGACACCTGACTTAAACAATCGAGAAGTTAGAAATGCATCTGCCTATTTATAAATAGAGTCACCAACAAACTAACAGATTTTTAACACGTGTACAAACCTTGTTGACAAGTTATATGATACATATTGATGATCAATCCGACTAACTTTTCCCAAATTGCTCAGCATAATCGTGCTAGTGCAAAACACGTTTTAACCATATGGTACTCAATAAATCAACACTAACAGTGCATTTCAATTAAAAAAAAAAAAAGAAAGAAAGAAAAGGGGAGAGTAAAAAACTGAATGTTTTCTAGAGCTTCATTTGAACAATTCTCATTTCCACCTTCTGGTTTGTTTGAGACTGAGGCAGCAGAGGATTCAGCATGTGCAACTTTGACGGAGCCATCTATATTGGAATCATCCTGAGATGCACCATCTTTTTTGGGCACAGAACCCAATGGGTCAGCCTCCTCTTGAGCTTTGTACAAAAGAGCACATCCAAATTTGTAGTAAGCATTAACGCACTCAGGGGCAAGCTCACCAAAGTGTGCAACCCTACAATAGAAGTACCAATTTAAACCGCGGTCATATCAGGAAAAGAGTATATCAAAAGACAGTGCACAATCAATTCTTTCTACTAGGTATGGCATGACATGCCACAATTTCACTTAATTGATGGAGGACATAAAATAAAATGCAACGAACATGCACAAATTTGTAAGAAATAAATCAATGTAGAAAGGGGACTGAAATTTTGTTTCAGCACATTTCTGTAAAGTGATATGGAAGAAGTGTGGTATCATATGGATAAAACATTAGCAGTTAAGAAACTTGACACATCATAAAATTGCTTAATAATTCCTAACACAGTGTGAATAGCCCACATCACAATGTCCTAAGGAGCTAACGGAGCAAAGGACTAAAGAAGTTCAACTGGTGCCAACATTTAGCTAGTTGGAGAGGAAGGACTAAAGAAGTGTGACCGGTGCCAACGTTTAGCTAGTTGGAGATTTTGAGGAATAGTTTGGTACGAATAGAAGGTAACAACAAATGCAAAGCTAATCAATCATAAATACATAACTCCAAGAATATCACACTTCTTTAAATGGACTCTAGCTTTATTATTATGTGGATTAGTTAACATAAACACATGTTTCTTCACTCTCAAACATATAGACCCACAAAAATAAATACAAAGATAGAATTGCGGATGTACAAGAGACATAAATACATACACCCCAACCCACCTTTTTTTTCTGATCATCTATAGAGATGGCCAGCATAATTTCTCTGCTCAACAATATTATTCAATTCAAAACTACAACTCACATGAACAATGCACCCAACAAATTGAGACCCTGACTTTTCAAGCTCAATTCCAGTTTATATTCAATAAAAATAGTAAATGAATAATAGAATTAGCAGTAAAA